CATGCCGTGCAACTGGATGACTTTCGTCGACAGCGGTTGTCGCTTAGCTGCACCACAGTCTTTCGTGAGGGACTGTGGCTGCACGCTACACCCTTCATGTGTGATGTTGCTTGCTGGTCGTGGAGTAACGTCGCAACGTCGCCAGCAGAAACCTGCTATCTCGATGCTGATGGTTGTGGCTCCATGGTAATCGCTGATTTTACTGCTGATGGATCTTCTGAGAGCCCTTCAATGTTTATAAAACTCAGTTTCCAAGTGGTCAACACACATTAAGTTCTCCCAATCGTAGTATTTCATGTGAAGTACACCTCACATGCCAAAAATGTTGTTGAACGATTTGAATTGGATAAAAATAGCAGACGAAAATGTGTTTACAAAATAAAAATAGTTCGGTAGCCAATGAAAATACCATGTTCATTTGCATATCGACCGTGAAAATACCGAAAACATTATTGCATGGGTGATATGCAAATTAGTTTGGGCCCAAATAAGTGACTGCCTAAAAGTACCATTACTGTTGTTCAAATTTCATGTCACTCGGCAAGTATATTCATGTACCCCAAGGGGAAAATATCGTACTTCTAAATATTGTTTATTCCGAAAAACTGTACTCCTGAAGGGACTACTTTGTTTGCTCTCGGACCTCATTTGCATATGGGTTGTGGAAATACCGATTTTGATTTCAGGGACGAATCAAAATAAACTGCAGTACATATGTAATAATGAAATTTATTTGCATATTGAGTAATATTTTCTATGACCCTGTGGCCTTGTGATATTGTAATTGAGGACAACACAAACAGAAATTGTAAATTTTACATTGTTGCGTTATTTACCTTTTCTTCCGGTTTTAGTAATGGCTGCTGTATTTGTGTATAATCCTGTATTTTTCCTTTTAATTCCTTAATGTGATTATCTCTCTGTCTGATTTCATTTTGTAGGAATGAAATTTGTATCCTAAGGTCTTGTACTTCCTTCCCATGATTCTTCTCTTCTTTTCCCTTTAATTATGTTTAGAACAAAATACAATTGTCAAATAAATTTTATTTTGTAAGATGTACCATATAGAGACTATACGATATATATAGTACAGGAGTACTTCAGCTAGAAAAAACTGCTGACTGAACCACACTGTTTTGCTATGAAGCACACTTGGTGCAGAGAAAACAGAGAGTGAACATAAGGCAGGATGGCACTGCATAGGGCTTCCCCTGACCTAGATCTCTCTTTCTGCCATTGGCTGATCCAGGTTAAAGCCTACAGTTCAAAATAGTCATTTTGACTGACCGGAGTCTATGGTGTCTAATTGAATGCAGTAAATCTTACCACGTACACATTGGTGCATGATGAATGTCACATTTAGTACTGAACTATTGCAGGTTCAAAGCGATATTGCTTGAAACGAGAAACATACCTAAGCATAATTATATTCATACCTAATAAACTATGGTTTCACGTACTTCATGTGTGGCATTGTATGTGTGAGATTATATAGTGTGCATTCTTATCTCTATTTATATATGCATAATGTATTTCACACTTGGCTAACATGGGTCTTGATTTCGGGTCAATGTTTGACCTAACCTTGTGACATTGTAATTGGGGGTGACATAAACAAACCAAAGAAATTTTCCATCGAGCACTATTTACCTTTGCTTCCAGCGTATTTTGCAGGTTAAGGTTTTGTACTTCCGCATGATTCCTCTTTTCTGCAGCCAGTACTGTTGCCTGATTATCACATTGCTTTTGTATGCGCTTCAGTTCTTCAGTAATACTTTGTATTTCAGTTTCCTTTAATTGTGTTTAGAAAAAATACAATACAATAATTGATTTGTAAAGTAAAGTCACAGATGTACGGTATAAAAATCTAGAGAATATATATACCACATTATGCTTTATTAGACAGAAGCACACATGCTGGATTATCAAAAATATGACTTGATATACACAAATATCATTTACAAAATGCATTGCACTAATGATAGAGCAAATTCAACAAGATCCTTTCTGTAATACACACTTGGCTAAAGCAAGTCATTTGAACATTGCTAATTTTTACTCATTTTTATATTAATGCGTTATATAATACCGGAAAATATTTAAAAAAAAAATTCACTAAAAGACAATACTGAACTAGGTATTACTCTTCTTAATGACCAAGTATGCGTTGCATAGTGAGTGGGGAATGCCCAAATTTAGCAGTGAATTATTGCAGAGGTGAGCGCTACTGCTGGGTTGAGAACCATACCAAGCATAATTTTAGTTTGTGTGTGCATCGTATGTATAAGTATGACCAGTGTGTGTTCTTGTCTATTTATATGCATATAACTATCTTCACTATAATGGTGCATACCCATCAGTCTATATAATCCCAGTGCTACATAATTGTGTAATTTTAAACTGGTTTATAGTACACACACAAAGTGATAAAAACATAAATATTAATGAGTGATTTTTGTTAATATTTGACCTAAGTCTACTTCTTTTTGATTAACATTTAACCCTAGCACATGTCGTTATGACATTGGGGACGACATAAACAGACACAGGAAATTTTACATTTTATTGTTGCATTATTTACCTTTGCTTCCAGTGTATTTTGCAGGCTTGACATTTCTTGCTTAAGGTCTTGTACTTCCTTCTCATGGACCCTCTTTTCTGCTGCTAGAACATCACATTTCTTATGTTCGATCTTCAGTTCATGAGTGATATATGTAAAAATACAATTGGAGATCAAAGAAAGCTTAGGAAGAACTCATGTGTGCTCGTAATTCATATGCAAATATTATTAACCTAAAACCAATCAGGTCTGTGCATTGTCCTATAAATTCTATCTACCAAGTTTCATTGAAAAGTGATGATTAGTACTTATAAGATATAAGTCGAAAAGCCGAAAATTTACCAAGTCTTATGCTAATTAGGTAATTAATATGCATTTGTTTATTGTTATGCCAATTACAATTATCATCTTGTCACAAATCTCATTTCTTTACTATTGTCTGTACTATCTATTATTACTGACACTCATATGACATATATGATAACAACTGGAATGTATTTGTGGGGTGAAATTCCTTTCATATAAATTACTTAATTAACGTACAAAACATTATCAACTTCGTTTTGAGAAAGACACATACACTACAAAGACTTCGAGGCTATTGTGTCCATTAGAGTGCTTGGTTAACTGGCTTGCTTTTTGTTTTTGTGCATGTTCTCGCTCTGTTATAATAAAGGCAAAGAACATGATACCGGTATATGATTACCATAACATATGTCTTGTGCATGTTCAAAATAACATTTTATAGTGTTTTAACAATTCATGAATACTGCGTCACCACCCTACAATGAATCATGCTTATCAGTTTGACGCATGCTTACTACATCACATAATATGGTACTGATCATGGGCAATTCACTTTTGGTATATGAGTAGTCAGGGCCCTACCTGCAGTTGAGTTACTTTGTTTGTTAATGCTTTTTTTTCAGTGCAGGATTTCTTAAGATAACTTGTCATTTCATTGAAGAGCTTTGTTTCAGTCTTTGAAGGCCATCCAATCAGCATCAGATTAAGATATTCAATATGTGTTGTGCTTCTAGTTGTAGTGAATAACTCAGTATTGCTGACTGCTCTTGCAGCATCAAATATCTTAGAGTCTGCTTCAAAGGCTTAAGAAAAAAAATTAACTTATCACCATATGACTAAGGCCCATTGAAAGTGTCAACAAATAAAACATCAAAGCCAATTGCTAGCTGTTTTCAAAACCAAGTAATAATCAAATATACTGGTTTTCATTTTGAATTTCACCCTAAAACAAAATTACGCGCAAAAAGGTAAATCTATAAGTCAAGTTTGGTACTGCAAATTAAGTATTTCCATGCATGACTGAGATCTTGTTATGAAATGGCAGAAATGTTTTATTTTGATCACTAAAATGGCCGCATTCAGGTACCTTGAATTGGATCATGAAACAAATACATGTGCATAGATATAATGTAAGATATTAAGGTAGAGATGCAGGTTCGTGGGCACTTGGGAGTGATTTTTTTTTTCTTTTGCTTTTTATTATCCAAAAAGTCTTGGCTATAGACTGTTGAAATTTTGTAGAATTGTGAATAGTGAACCATACTCAAAAAACGATTTTAAAATATAGATAACAGATGCAAAATTATCCCATTTGAATGCTTAGCAAGATTTTGCAAGGCTGTACATAAATAATAAAAAAAACATGATGAAAAAAAGAAATGACGGGATCTCCATTATATGCACTGTATTTAACTTTTTTACAAAACGATAATAAATTTAAATTTGGAACTGTTACAGCCATTTTAATTATAAGCATTAGCAAACTTCTTACTGAGTGAATTGTTATGTAAATTAGCAATTGTCTCGGCTTCTTTTTAGTGCACATTCCAAAACTTTAAAAAAATATAGCTCCTAGACGCTTTGACCTTTTTTTTTGAAATTTTCACAAATGATTGACAATGTGTTTCTCTTCAAAACGCCGTCGGGGCATTGTTTTTAGTTAAATAGTGTTACAGCAATCGTACAGACAACTAGCCTGGGTGTTAATTTACACATAAACTTGAAGTAGTGAAATTTGAGCTGCTGCCCTACAAAATTTACAACTGGTAGACAGTTTTCAAGACGGCGCTTTCTTCATAGTAAACATATGTACCCATAAACCAATTTTGACAGGAAACAGAAGCATGGTTTAGAAGCTATTTTTTTTTAATCACTTTTGACCAAAAAAGCACATTTTTGTGCATATTTCAAACAACAGTGTCAATGAAAATAAAATACTAAAAAAACTTTAAAATTCATACAATAAGCTTTCCGAAAATATATAGTTTTGTAGACAAGGGAGGTCATCTTAATTTCCCAATTAACTAATTAAAATACCTGTCAGGTAAACTGCATCTCTACCTTAAATGGGTGTTTGGAAGAAATCAACCAGGCATGTCAGAAATACAGGTGTGAACAGAATGTACAAATGGATACACAGAGTTGAAATTTAAAGTTTACATTTTCAGACTACATCAGTATGGAGGCTAAAAATGTTTCCATCAACCAATCGACAAGTGATGCTGCATACTAAAGAGGTTGCTGAAGAGACACCTGGTGCAACCATGAGTGATGTCAATACAAAATTTTACTTAATCAGTCATGCATGGCTTACACTGATGGCAAGTCTGTTGGGATTTCGCGGTCACATGACTTTCGCGTTCACCCCTCATTTACGCAATTTATAATTATTTTTCAAGAATTTTTTATCGGAATCGCAACAGACTGCAAGCAAGTCTAGGGAACCAGCTATCAGTTCAAATGTTGATTATTGGTGTATATTTCATCTATTATGAATTGCATCTGTACCAGCTTTGAACAAATTTAGTCTAGGAATGTCCGAGAAATAAAGTAGGAACCCCCCAGATGTGGACTAAAAACGAACGTCTTTGGCTATTTTTTAAAGTTAGTCTTGCAGTCTGCATTGATGTTTATACTGACTTTGAATTAAACAAGCAGCCCCTCGGCTGAGATAGCTCCGCTGTTAGCAATGCACATTTCAATTAAAGAACAGAAGATATCATTAGAAAATGAACAATATGCATAGTATCAATGCAATGGGACTTGCTGTTTTCAACAAGAATTTAAAAATATAATTTTTAACCATAAATGATTGTGGGTTTTAACAAGAAGGAAATATCACTTTTTACCAAAAATGACAAAAATATTCATCAAAATTAGAGAATTGAAGATATCATCATGAAATGAACAAATTTGAGAGTGGTCCATATGTAGTATCTATATATGTAATATCAAAGCAATTGGACTTGTGAATTGAATGAATTGCATCTGTACCAGCTTTGAACAAATTTAGTCTAGGAATGTCCGAGAAATAAAGTAGGAACCCCCCAGATGTGGACTAAAAACGAACGTCTTTGGCTATTTTTTAAAGTTAGTCTTGCAGTCTGCATTGATGTTTATACTGACTTTGAATTAAACAAGCAGCCCCTCGGCTGAGATAGCTCCGCTGTTAGCAATGCACATTTCAATTAAAGAACAGAAGATATCATTAGAAAATGAACAATATGCATAGTATCAATGCAATGGGACTTGCTGTTTTCAACAAGAATTTAAAAATATAATTTTTAACCATAAATGATTGTGGGTTTTAACAAGAAGGAAATATCACTTTTTACCAAAAATGACAAAAATATTCATCAAAATTAGAGAATTGAAGATATCATCATGAAATGAACAAATTTGAGAGTGGTCCATATGTAGTATCTATATATGTAATATCAAAGCAATTGGACTTGTGGTTTTTAACAAGAAGTCGAAAATATCACTTTTTACCAAAAATGAAAAAAAATGTTCACCAAAATTAGAGAATTGAAGATATGATCATGAAATAAACAAATCTGAGAGAGGTCTACCCAAGTATCAAAGCATTCAGGCTTGTAGTTTTCAAGAAGAAGTCGAAAAAGTAAAACATTGACACAGACGACGGACGACGGACACCGGACAATCACTCATATGATAAGCTCCGCTCCACAAAGTCGACAGCGGAGCTAAAAATGAATATTACTATAAGTAAACTATTTAGCATACCTCGCAGAAAACACTCAGCTTTGGAAATTTCTATGTCTGTAATTGTGACAATGATTTCAACCCTAAGATTGAACTTGTTTGCCCTTGTCTGCATCTCTTCAGTTACCAGGACACTGGTTAGCAGTCGTCCAAATATACCACTCTTCACAGCTGTCTTGAAGTGTTGGAAACATTTTAAGCTCCAGCATCTCGTTGTTAGTATGACAGATCCCTCATGTCCCGCTATTATATTTACTTGAACTGCTTTGTCAACTCCATATAATTTGAGTCGAGTCTCATTATCAGGATTATTTATCTTTTCAATTATATGTTTCTCCATCTGTAGCTTGTTGGTCTCATCCACGTTTTGCAGTTCTAATCTGCTTCTGGTATCTAATAAAAGAAACGATAGAAAAGATAGAATATAAAATTGAATATTAATATAATTGAATATTAAGATTATCAACAAGTAAATATTTCATGGCAAACTTTTATGCATTCATCATAATATTTATACTTACCAACTCCTGTTCTGCGAAAATTATTTTCAATATTTGATGAACTTTGACGTCTTTTAATTGGGGCTGTAGGAACTAAATATTGAAAAATATTAAAAACTAAACATTTACTTAATTTCTGTGCAAATTCATTGTTTTCATACAAGAATACAACTATTTTTTGGCTTGTCTCTATTCTTTCACTAACATTTTGTTCAGTAATTTCTTGTAAAATATTCTAAACAGTATTCTTTTACTATTCAGTTAACTATTCGATAATATTATTTAAAACACTAAGAGGTAACAAAGATGTCACATAACAAGCAAAATAACATATCGTAACAACAACTAATTTTTAGCGACTAATCATGCAAATTGGTGAATGCTATACATTGTATCTAAATATTACAATGATGTAGTCTGAATAAATATTTAACATAAACTAAGATATTTGATAAATGTACCGGAATATACACCAAGTATCAAAGAAAACAGATACATGTATGTAGTTTTCAAAAAGAAGTCAAAAAAGTTAATGCCAACGCCAAAAGACAAGCACTCAAGACTTGCGTGACACAGACAACAGCTGACCTAAAAAGTTTTTGGGGGGCACCTACACGTTGGATTCAAACAAACAATTTCCAGATTGACAAGCTGTGTGAATGCATGCTGTGGTCACTTTACTGGATGCGCAAAGTAGTAAATAGGGGAACAAGTTATTCTCATCCCACTTTCCAAGTAATTGTCTAAAATTCTCATATAACAGCACACACAGACTGATGACATTCAAAATGCATGTCATCATGTTTACTGTTATGTACCAGGTAGTGGTGTTTCCCCTAAACATTAATTACTACAAAATAACTGTTTAATCTGATCTGAAAACATTATGGTTTCATTATGTTCAATGTATGTACCAAGTTTGAACAAAAACTGTACGACTGCAATCCTGTCCCAGAATGACAGAAATGTTTTGTTTTGTTGATTTTTGATAGTGTGAATAAACAAATGTTGCAACTGCATGTACTTACTTTTGTTACTTTCAATCTTTCCTGCTAATTCAATTTGCCCTATCTCGTTGAGAATCTCAACCAGGAATGTTTTGTCATTAAGACTGACATAACCCAATTCTTTCAGTTTTCCTAACACATCTCGCGCTGTTTCTAGTGATTGGAGTTCACCATGAGGAATTTTCCCATCACATAAAAACTTTATTTTATCAATATCACCTGAAAATCAAAAAATCAAAAAAAATCAGTGCTATATGACAAACAAGCCATTGTCAATGATATATTTCCTAATAAGCGGAACTAATATTTAAGGACACAATGTGTTTACTTTCTACCAAATGGAATAAAACCTGGCAGAGCATGTCCAAAAACAGATTTTAACCAAAACACAAAATTAACCAATTTGCAGCAGTAACACATTATATGTGTTGTTCATAAATACGACTGGCACATAGATGATTTTATTTTGAATAAACTGGCATCAAATATTCAAAAGTGAAAGAAAAAAAGAAAAATTGGTGTGTATGTGTGTTTGTAAGACTGTACTATTTTTGAATAAAATTAGTTTGCTCAAGAAATGCTGACTGATTGAGTCATTTTTCTTAGTTTCCACTTGAATTGATGTGATCTACGGAAGTTTGTATTTTATCATTTCATGGTGTGACTGGTTTGTCATGTTACGTTCTGGAAGCTCTTTGATGCGTGCCAAATACTTACATTGTATATTAGATACATGGTAATTCATCTAATTTTGCTCAACAGTCTACATTTGTGGAAAACTGGTTCAATCCCAGAATATGTCTAAAATATTATAGATGTTTTTTTTGTTTTTTTTAATTTGTGTCCCATTTATTCTGGAAATATTTCTCTAAAATTTTTATTGAATGCTGCATACCTTTATTTATTTATTTATTTATTTATTTATTTATTTGCGATATCGAATGGTATAAGTTCATCTGCATACAACAGAGAGCTAACATTATTATTATTTAGTTGAACCTGGTTCATGGATTTTTTTCCAGCGAATTATTTATTTTAGTAAATTATAAATTGAAAAGCATTGGGCTCATTACACATCGATCTCTGTCATACAATTTTGTTGGCTTCAAATGTAGGAGATACCTTATTTCCAAAACGTATGATATATGATTTTGTATGCTGATACATATGACTAATTTGTAGATATATTTCCAGTAATACCATCTTTGAGCAATTTATAGAACAATCCCTTTTTCCAGATGCTGCCAAAAGCTTTGTGAAAGTCAATGAAGCAAGTATATAAATTATTTTTTAGATACTTAAAGACTTTGTTTCAGTGGTTTCATTAAATAATCCATTATATCCACATGTTTTTCAGGTTTTAACTTAATCTATTTGTTTAGTTCACTTGAATTATTCTTGAGTTCTATATTTTCTAAGGTTTTAGCTGTTGATGATAGGTTATTGTTAAAGTCAGTGTTTAATGCATTATTATTCAATTGTTTAGTATTCATTCCAGGCTTTAGGTGAAATTGGATTTAATTCTTTCTTAGATTAGATTTTTTCAGTTGATTGATTTTCTGCCAGAATTGTTTTGAGTTTGCCTAATAATTTTCCTTAATTAATAATGATCTGTACCCTGCTTTGTATGATCTTAATACAAAGCCATGTTCACCTGGAAGAAACAGTTCCGGACACGTTTACAGACAATATGGCCATTAATTCAACAAAGTTGGTCGAATACAAAATTGACACAACCTACAGTATTACCCAAAAGTTTATTACCTAATTGTATACTAACTTTCTATTAAATCAGGCAATATATTAATGAGTAATCGACATGGGCATGAATAAAAACCAACAAATTCAAATAACTCAATATGCATTATCATGAAACAAAGTATGAATGAACTTGTCCCAGACAACTTTGGCCCCCAGTCAGCCACAGTTGATCAAATGGTAATAATGTATGGAAAGATAGATGGAACCAAAAATAATAGTCCTTGATTTCTGACTAACATTCATCTAAGGAATCCAACAACCGAATTCTGTTCAGTCATGGTATTCATCCACAACAACTGAATTAAGATGTTGCCACAGTGTTCATGACTGAGAATCAGTTAATGACAAGCTTTAAATGTTGTTTTTCGAGACAAAAATGACCGCCAGTCAAAGTTTATAAAAATGAAAAATAAATAAACATAGAGCAACGTGCATCAGAAACCCAGCTAGGCATGAGAAATGATTGATGGCATGTTCAAATGATGTAATTGTTAGTCTTTTTCAGGACAAAATGGACACTGGTAGTTTAAGGTAGAGATGCAGTTTACCTGACAGGTATTTTAATTAGTTAATTAGGAAACCAAGATGACCTCTCTTGTCCACAAAACTATATATTTGCAGAAAGTTTATTGTATGAATTTAAAAATATTGTTAGTATTTTTTTTTCATGGACACTGTAGTTTGAAATATGCACAAAAATGTGCTTTTTTGGTCATAAGTGATTTGAAAAAAAATAGCTTCTAAACCATGCTTTCGTTTCCTGTCAAAATTGGTTTATGTGTACATCTGTTTACTATTAAGAAAGTGCCGTCTTGAAAACTGTCTACCAGTTGTCAATTTTGCAGGGCAGCAGCTCAAATTTCACTACTTCAAGTTAATGCATAAATTAACACCCAGGCTAGTTGTCTGTACGATTGTCGTAACACTGTTCAACCAAAAACAATGCCCCGACGGCAATTTGAAGATAAACACTTTGTCGATCATTTGTGAAAATTTTAAAACAAAAGGTCAAAGCGTCTAGGAGCTATTTTTTTAAAGTTCTGGGATGTGCACTAAACAGAAGCCGAGATAATTTGCATAACAATTCACTCAGTAAGTAGTTTGCTAATGCTCATAATTAAAATGGCTGTAACAGTTCCAAATTTAAATGTATTATCGTTTTGTAAAAAAGTTAAATATCGTGCATAATATGGAGATCCCGTCATTTCTTTTTTTCGTCATGTTTTTTTTATTATTTATGTACAGCCTTGTTAAATCTTGCTAAGCATTCAAAAGAAAGAATGTTTGCACCTGTTATCTATATTTTTAAAATCATCTTTTGAGTGTGTTCCACTATTCACAATTCTACAAAATGTTAACAGTCTATTGCCAAGACTGTTTGGATAATAAAAAGCAAAAAAAAATCACTCCCAAGTGCCCACGAACCTGCATCTCTACCTTAAATGTAAAAGCAAATCAATGTGAATACGACGCATATTGGAACTTGTCTGTAACAAAATCAGACAAGACATATCCAACAAATGATGTTGATAGGAATTTCCATTTCAAATGCATTTTCCCATATGCATAGGAGTCTGCATGGTCATGGTATATACGAATATTCAAGAGAAACAGCTGCAACAAACTCATAAGCTTCAAACAGCACTATGCTAGGACATTCTCAACTGACTATATGCAGATTAGAAGTAGTTTCTTACCTTTACCTAGTTCTTGGCTAACTCGAAATAAAAATCTATTAGTCTGGTATGCTGTTTCTGCACATTGATATTGTGTCACATCTCTTGGAGAATAGCTCAATAGTTCTTCAGATATTGGGGGTTTAAGTTGCTTTATATTATGACTATGAAGTTTCTGTTGACCTTCATTTATATCTGGTAAATCTATGTCGTCTTTGTCCATTCGAGCTACTAAAAACAATGAAATAAAACCATCTATAATGCAATTTTTT